CATAGAGTAGGGGCAATTGCAAGCGATCTGTAAGTCTCTTAGTACCTGCCTGAGTGATTTGCACACAAACACACATGCTGTACACACAAGTATCTTGAGATGTAAACATAATTCAAAAAGTCGAATGTTCACGCCAGCTCTGTGAGGTCTCTTTGTACCACCTGCCAAAGTTCTACTGCTCCCCTGCTAAAATGTTGATGGGGCAACAATTACAACCAAGTGAACCAAATGACATTTTCCCTTCCTGTCTGTCTATTTTTTTTTTTCATATGTTTTTTAGTTTTGTGAGTGTTGTGCACACATTTTAGGCACGAGTTGAATGGAGGATACCTTTGCCATGATTGCAGTAGCAATATAGGCAAAAATATATGAATTAAATCAAGCTGGGTTGAAGCAGCATTGCATTACATACGTTTTAAAGATACATGCTAGGTAGTACAAGTGTCTATGAGAACTTATCACGGAACTGCTGCAGGCTGTAGTCTGTCTCAGGGTAATCTATCTTTTTGTGTAATGCCAAACTGTCTTTGTGATGCTGAGCTCAAAGCTCTTTGGGACCAGTCAGTCTATTCCAGGAAATCCCATTCTTCTTTTGGCTGAACACTGTCTGTAGCTGCATGCTTTAAGTTTAAAGCAGTGATGCAAATCTATCTTGTCATCTAAATCGAAAGATACTATGTTGCTGCTTTTTTATTAAACGGTGAAATTGAAAATTCACAGATAACAACAGTAATTATATTTTGACATTAAAAATATCATTTCAATTAAACTGATTGTGTGTACTGGTGGATTAGTTATTATTCATCTCTGGCTCTCTTCCACAGCGTGTCTTTGTTTGTCTTTGTCTGCCTCCCTTCACCTCAACACAGCATGTGGCCTGAGCCTGGTTCTGCTGGAGGTTTCTTCCTGTTAAAAGGGAGTTTTTCCTCCCCACTGTCACCATGACGCTTGCTCATAGGTGTCATATTATTGTTGGGATTTTTTTTTTTTTTTTTTTTTTTTATGGGGTCTTTACCTTACAATATTAAACACCTTGAGGCAATGGTTATTGTGATTTGGTAAATAAATAACATTGAGTTTAAATGAATTAATTTCGATATTACAGAAATATAAGAAATGATTTTGAT